TTGTCTATGCATCATACCAACTTGTCCTCAAAGCAGCAGGGAGATATCACACATAAGTGTCATTTGAGAAGAAATCAGATTATTCAGCGTGTGTTGTGTCAATTTAATTTGTTTCAAAAATTATTTAATTGATGAAACTTGCACAGATTGTGAATTTGGTTTCCAAAACAGAGGAAGAAATAATAAATGCAGATGTTGGAAAACTATTTCCTTTCCTTGTCTCAGCAGGAGTAATTGTTGCTGATGTCATGTGGCAAGGTGGTTGTGGAGTAATGTCATCATTTAGAAATACTTGTGGATGCTGCTGCCTCATTATGTAGCCATCATGTGTGGCCTGTCAATAACCCAGTTGCTGGTGTCTAGTCTCCCCAGCTGGGTCCCTGGTCATGGTATTTCCCAGGATGTCATTACATCTCATGTCTTTCCAGAAGGTGCTACTGTCACATAACCAGATGACTGTTGCATCACAGCTAGATCAGGCAAAGCATGTCTGTTCACACTGACAGTATTGGGCTAAATATCAAGGCATTATCATTTTCAATGCATCATGTTAATATCACAAACTTTACTCAAAGATCTTTATGTTTTGGTTGATACCTTTTCTCTTGTTATTCTACTGTTTGTTTTTCTAAATGAAAGACTAATTCTTGTTATTTTTTTTTACTTAGCTTAAGAAACAAATGTGACACTATTTACATTTTGTGCTTTACACTTGTGTTCAGTTGATAATTTATGTTTTTTAAAACCAAGTCCATTTTGATGTTTGAAGTTATTTATTTCAGTCATTAAACTAAACCTATGAGAACAAGAAACTAATATTTAAGTCTCAGACTTAGAGGAAGAAGTCTCAGACTTAGTACATTTAATATTTGAACAAATACATCTTCTATAATGAAAACAAGCACTAGGTAATCAAAATTACCTATTTTTATTAGTTGTATTAATAATGACTATCTAAGGCCTTAAGATTCTAAGACTTTATGTATAAAGTTCAAACAGTGTATTTTGCACTGTGGTACAATTTTTATGCTCTTTAAACTGAATATAATATTTTTCATCAACATTTCAAGAGCAAGATAAGAAAGGAAATAATCTGTGGTTACATTGTATGTATGACAGAAAATGTAAAGTAAGTTTATTTAGGTTCTCAACAGGATACAATGACAGCTCTTGCCTTCACTATTAAGATATGTATATTGTTTGTCAAAGGAAAGATGTTACATGCTATTTACATAAAAACAAACATGATATATAAGATAAATGTGTCAATATATGGTGTTTTGGCAGGTTTCACATCAAGATTAACCAATTCAGACTGCGTTATAAAGGGAAGATAAAGTATCATTGGTATCTTGTTAATTCTTTTTATGTAACCAGGAATTTCTGTTATTCTCATAACTCTATTCATATCGCACATCTCTAAGGCTATATTTTCTGTTTGGAAACCACATCTGTCTTCTCTTGACAAAATTTGCATGTTATTCTTGACACATAATACCTGTAAACTTTTTATCATTTACCCCCACAAGAGGTTACACATGCCCAGCTAAGCCTCAGAGTATTACCACATGGTCAATAAACAGCAGCTGTAAAAAGTACCATCTGCTGTTATATACAAGTTAAAAAATATGATCAGATGTATTTGAGTTCTCACGTGGAGTTTATCTATTTTTTTCATGTATTGAAGAAGGGCTGAATACATCTCCCTGGACTCCCCCTATGTCTGCGGATGCCACATGTTCTTTAGCCGTCATACATTTGTCTCTAATGCTTTTTAGCATTACCAGTAAGGAGTTAGGTGATAACTATGTAGCGTCTAGGTCCTGGCCAGCACGTGTCTCGGTCCTGGCCATCTTGGCCTTCTTGTTCCTCTGGCACCATGCTTGTTATTAGGCTGTCATCGTTGTTCTCATGTCCCCATCTCCTGGCTTGACAATGTCATGGAAAGGTGAGAGTGTGGCTAGGATTGTGGATTTGTTATTGTAAAAAATACCAGTACACAACCCAATAATCTGTATTTACCTATTCCTAATTGGCATGATGTTATTTCTTTCTTTTAATAAGGCTTTCATTAACAATGATAATGATTGTATTTTTAATCCTTAGAAATTGTTAAATCAAATTTTAACTTTTTACACACAGATCTCTTATAGAAGCTGGTATATGGTGATTAATCTTCGACACTCATAATGAAAACAAGTCAACAGTACCGTGCTAAATTCATTACCCTTGGTATCAGATTACTAACATGCAAAGATTTGTATCTTCATAAAAGAACTTAATGGTAATTTTTATTGAATATCTCTGTTATGGTATCAACAGGCTGACATTTTTGGCCCTTCTTGCTCCTGGCTTTGGACAAGAGTTAAATATTGCAGTAAGCACAAGCAGACCATGTGCGTGCATCCCCCTTGTGTGAAGTTCTTCCCACGCTTCTCTCATCTCCATACACCCTTCAGAAAGGCCCTGCAACTGCTGGCTCTCTACATCACATAATGTAACTGCAATAAATATCCAAAATATGGTGATGCAAATTGTAACGTTTCACTTAGAAGTTAAATTAGATAGACTTCAATATGGAAAACATGTTTTTAGATGTATTTCACTGTGGATAATGTGTAATACTAGATATTTTTCATGAATAACTTTGAGATTGCAATCTACGTAACATATCCATAACGCATGGGTAGGCATTTCATATGTCCTCTTTAGTCCTCATTCATGGAATGAAGGCCAAGATGTTTTATGCATCATTTTCTACTTTTCTTCTGAGTTTTATGTTATTCCCTGTATAAAACATGTTTGAATTCCCATTCCTACAATTATAAGCAGTTGATACTAACCTTTAACATGTTGATTCCCCATAATTTGTATACATGGTAGATGTATTTACTGAGAAAATTTTGTGTTAAAAAAATCAGTTACTTTGCTTCTCAAGAATGATAATCTAGTGCTGTGAAACAGATTCTCAAAAGATCAGTGATATTCTCTGAACATGCTAAAGCAGTATCTATAAAAACTCAGTTTACAACAATGTGAGTTGTTATTAATTGTTATTGTCAATGATGTAATGACCCAATGATGATAATTATAGATAATTATGATACAGTTATAAATAATTTATGGATAAATAAAATACAGTTATAAATAATTGTTTGAAGAATATTGAAGTGTTTCTTTAAAAATGGTTCTTTATTGAATAAAACAACCTGTGAATGTTTAACACTTAAGTTTATGAAACCAAACAAAAGGAAGCCAGACAAGTGATTTAATTAAACAGTGTTATGTTACGGTAAATCATTAGGATGTGAAAACGGAGGTCATCAAGAGGCCAGCTTTCAGTTGGACCATCGTGAGGTCACTCAGTGGCGAGAATTCTGCAGTTAACTATTGTCATTCCTGGTAAGGCTCAGCTGTAGAAGATAGTGTGGCCCTGTAGCATGACCAGGAGCGTGATTGGTAGCTGTATACAATAGAAGTGGTATGTGCACTTACATTCTTTATTGCACTGGCCAGCCATGCTCATCATTGTCTGCCCTTGACTCGAGTTTGTTGTATAGGAGTTAGGGTCAATATTAAGATTTATCTTTACAAGGACAGTTTGTGATTACAAAAAATGTTGTTAATCGTGTTGATATATTAATAAGTACACTTAACAATGCTTAACAGAGTTGCATTTTTCCAATCTTAGACCAGCAGGTTTGTTTAGTTTTGATCTCTGCAATGAGAAAATAGATTGTAAACTCAATGATAGAAGTCAAGTTGACATCAGTAGCAGCAAATATGATGTTTTAGTAGTTAATGGCAAGGATCAATCATAAAGCTGTGTGATTCAAGCAGTAATCCTGCCACTGTACATCTGAGTGCTAGTTCTTCTGCATGACGACCACCTCGATGTCACATGAGGAGTTCAGGGGGACTACAATACCTAGGGCTTTGAAAGTTACATTTTGAAGTATTAGTATTGATCAGCACTGGGTTGGTTGTGCTTTCCAGCTAATCTAAAATAACATGCCAAACCCTGTGGGGTAAGGCTCTGAAAAAAACAAAACAAAAAAAACAACATGAAACGATTAAGAAATTCACATGAAATTGATCTTGCTTGGATAAGCTATCTTTACCATGGCATGGAATCTGGATGGTTGACTTTCTGTTGTAAGTAACGGGTACTTTTGTAACACGCTTTTTTCAATGTTTAGCCTCAAGATGGATGCTTCTAACAGAAACTCAAGTCTTAACAATATCATGAACATTTGTTTCACTTGTTGAGAGCAACTGCTCTTGCACATGGGGGGGCACGGGTAGCCCAGTCGTCTAAGGCGCTGCAATTCGCTGTGCAGTGTTGCGTCCCTTGGGCATGACAGAAACCTAAGATTGTGGGCTCGAATCCCAGTTCGCCCCGATTATGTTTCTAGGTTTGTCAGGACCATACCTGTGCTCGTGGGTTTCACCGAAGCGGTAAACGTCTGAGACCTGCATCACTTGGGGCTTTCCTCCCACATTAAGCTGACACACCGTGATATAACTGGAATACTGTTAAAAGCGGCATTAAACCCAACTCACTCACTCTTGCACATGAACCAGGGTTAGAAATTGGCACTAGTCCTATAGTCCTTGCCTAACTGCCCAATAGTTAAAGGTATCATAGGGACTAGTAGATAGTTGCCATTTTTAAGGGTTTTGCTACATATTCTCATTATAAGGACTAGTGGACCAAAAATATTAGTTTCTTCTGCTGCATGAACATTGATAACAGTATTCACTAGCTTTTATGCAGCTCTTTCAGGACATGGATGATATGAAGACTATATGGCCTTTGATATGTTGCCATGTTCTTACTGTAACTGTCTTGGCAGAAGAATCACAAACTCTGTTTGTGACACACCTGACAAAGACAGTACATATTTTAATCTTTGCCAGTGATTGATCTAGACCTAGATACATGATGATGTGATATATGTTCCCATAGTATGACTTATGTATGTTCTTCTTCATTGCAGGAAGAAGAAGTTACAGTGGGCGGAGTGACCTCTTGACCTTCAGCCCGACCTTGACCTCCTACCTAGAACCGCATCGGTCCTTTTCCAAATCTTATCTATCACATGGACTTGACTACGTAACAGGTGGGGTAACATTTGAGTTTGACATATTGGTCTGTTAACAATGCATCATCTACATCCACTTTGTTTAGGTCAAGGAGTTCAAGCTTGTTCCGTATATACTCACACATGTTCAATACAAGACTTGTAAGGTAATCGGACATAGCAAATGTCATATGCCACAAATGTATTACTGATACAACTGGAGTGAGAGCAGTGTTGATTTGTAGTGGTCGACTTACTGTCTCAGAAATTGAAAAACAAAATCATTCTTTTCCTATAACCCATATGTAGAAGGATCTTTTATGGGGAAACCGTGATCATGAACATGATGAATCTCCACCAAATGAGGCATAGATATATTAGCCCCCAAACATAAATGTCGCCACCACCTTCACTCTAGGTACAAATGAACAAGTAACATGTCTTTCATGACCCCAATATTTCATTTTTTCACCTCACATGAGTCAAACTGTAGAGGGTATCTATTTGCTGTTGTTTGTAAAAGTAACTGGTAGTGTTGGTCCAAGTAATCAGTTTTAGGCATGTTGGTTGGTTTCAGTTGCCAGAAAATAAGTCATTTCTTCTTTGATTGGATATTATCCAATTATTTCCTGTTCATTTTGATGCACTTTTATAAAAAAACACAGATGTTCCAGTTGTAGTGTTGTGTTTTTTTAGATGTGTTTGTGTAGCTGACTACAGAAACATATAATTAATAGACCCATTTGTTGTCCAGTGAGATTGTGATACTGGACAGAGACAGAATGTAGACAAGATCCATTTTGTAGTATATCTTTTATTAACAGGTATCCATACATTACTCTAACAGAAATATGCGCGCATGCACACGCACGCACGCACACACGCACAAAGAAAAAGTAGCTTTGTTTCTCCATTTTGCTTCTTGCCAAGGGCTCTTAGAATGCTGCATCAATCCCTGACATCAGTGATCTGATTTAATAGCCATTATAGCATGAGATCAGAGAGTCCTGGGGGGGTTGATAAATATAGTTATCCACATGGGGAGTGCTGTTGCTGAGGTGTGTCTGCTTTGGTGGATTGGTGATCTCAGAACATTCTCACATATAGCAGCTCATTGTGGTGTTTAGCAAACTCATAGACAGCAGTGTTGGGTATCAAGGCCTGAATGATGTTGGCAAACTATCTTATTAGACCCATGTATTTTCATTGAATACACATAAGGAAAAGTAGTTCTTTCTGCCCAGTGATTTGTACAGGATTAATCTTTGAAGAAAGTGCCATGCAGTGTGATTAGTGAATACCCTAATAAATGAACAGTACTGTTGTTGGTTGTTATCCTTGTCAAAGGACATACTTGATTGCATAGAGTGAACATTTATTGTGGTTTTATTGTGATCTTGGTGATATTTTTCAACATTTTTGTGACTCTTGTTTCAATTTTCTCAAAGTAAAGTCTTCTTTCCTTGACATTTTAAGTAGCATTCATTCAGAGATCACTATAGCCTGTTCAGCTCCTGGCCCATATATTTTCAGTACATTTTATCCCAGGTACATTTCGGATTCACAAGCCTGCCAGACTATTTGCTTAAGTACTGAATGTTTTACTGCAATCATTCTGATAAAAATTCACTTGGATATATATTTAACAAACTTTGCACAGAATTAAAACTTCATATTATTTGAGGCTTAATCTTCTCAAGAGCCTAAGCATAAGGTTTCTTATGCAACTAAAACAGAATGTAAGGATGTTTACACTGACGTAATGGTATCTGTCTAACCATGCATCATGGTGGTGACTGCTACACAGACGCAAGTACCCATTGTCTGACATTATGTAAGTTGGAGGATATGCTGGATGAAAGGTCGACATGTGTGTGCACGGTATTACCGCCCGACAGTGTATTGAAGTTTGATCTATTAGTAGATTAAGAAGACTAGGTGAATGATCAATCCAGTTTAGATATCTTGTGTGTGAAAACTTCTGGATGTTTCGTTGCTAAACAATAAGGAAGAAGTCTACAGCAAAGTGAAGGTGGGCAATGTTTTATCATGCACGTACATGCATAATGTGTGATGGTTTAATCAGCAATTTGTTGTAATGTGTAAATGTACACAGTCTCCACAAGAAAGGTGTTGTGTTAACAAAACTGAAGTTAGAAGTTTAGCATCATATTAGTGTTAGTGTAATGATTTGGTGACCTTATGGATTGTTTATGACAGTTTTTTATTTGGATAAATGACCATAATCATGATCATGAAGTGAGGAGTTACATGTCATGAACACCCGTGAAGATCCGGGGTTGAATAGGTCTTCAGCAACCCATGCTTGCCGTAAAAGGTGACTATGCTTGTCGTAAGAGGCGACTAACGGGATCGGATGGTCAGGCTCGCTTACTTGGTTGATGCATGTCGTCGTATCCCAATTGCATGGATTGATACTCATGATATTAATCACAGGATTATCTGGTCAAGACTTGATTATTTACAGACTGCCATCATATAGCTGGAATATTAAAACAACAAACCAACTAACCAACCAACATGTCATGAATATGAAGTTTCTGTTACATTTGTGGAAAAATATTTGTAGTTAAATATATACCTGATAACACTTTCCAACAGAGACGTATTGAAGGGTATGACAATGAAAGACATGTACTTTTTTTTACGTGATAGTGAACTTAAGACTTTGCGTGAAATTCATGTATTTCCCAACACACAGTCACATGTGTAATATATAATAGTTGGACAGTCTGTAAACAGTAATGTAAAACCTACTTTTCATGAGCTTAATGGAACTAATGGCTTTTTGTACAGGTAAAAACTTTCTCTTCACAGGCCTGAATAGTGCCGAAAATAGTTGTTTATACTTTTGAAGAGGGGAAGAGATTATGCAAAGAGCTCACAGGGGGTGGCCCAGTTTGAATCTGTTGAATTCAATTATCTAGGTTGGGTGTGTAGTGGTTACTCCTGCTTGTATGCAGATTGCAGAACTTTTACAATGTGTTTGACCATATTGTGTCGTTGGTGCATTGGAAATGCTGCATTGATGTGTCGATATTTGACATGTTTCTCTTTTAATTGATCATGGTTATTAATACATACCATGGAATGAATTGTCCTGTGACTTGGGGACACAATATTGAGTTGAGAGGTCATTTCCATGTACCCTATGTTTGACTCAGTCTGAGGATTAGTTTGTCACATACATTAGTACATTCCATTTTGCTGATTCCTTGAATGGGATCATGTGTTTATTACATTCATGACAAATAGATTAAGAAGTCAGTAGTTTACTGTGGAGGGGGAAAAAATTCTGATGTGTGCTCAAAACAGCCAGAGGAGATGGGGTATAATTAAGCATGCATGAATGATGCCTTCTGAAGACAGTGTTTTCATTCTTAATTGTATTAATGAACTTAAGGGATAATTCTAGGATGGGGCCTTTTGTGCTTTTGAAAAAAGTGCCCACATTTTCAAATACAATGGGGAATTTTAACATTGTGCTGTATGGGCAAGTGTGGGTGTACTTAGGGAATATATGAAATTTTGACATTAAGCATGTTAAGGGCCCATGTCAGAAAATTCTTAGAGTGAACTCTGGAACTTGCCTCGAAAACCTTATAATATATCCAGTTTCAAGTCATGGCTATAGAAAAAAGTTCCAGATTCCATTATAGACAGTATAGATGGTTGAAACAGCAACAGGTTATTCTCTACAGAGGGACGATTACATCCAGCAAATCCACTTCACTGTGCACACCCTCTATGCAAGGGTGAACCTGAAGAAACGTGACGGTCATACCAGACACCTCACGGTGTACTACTACCACCAAAAGATGCACTGGCTTGACCTGTCTCCCTTCACCATCCCCATTTCGAGGTAGTCAATCCCCCTATGTACCTGCTGTCCATGTGGGATATGTCGCCAGGTATGACCTGCTGTACATGTGGGATGTGTCGCCAGGTATTACCTGCTGTCCATGTGGGAGGACACAGGGGATGTGTCGCCAGGTATTACCTGCTATACATGTGGGAGGACACAGGAGATGTGTCGCCAGGTATTACCTGCTGTACCTGTAGGAGGACACAGGAGATGTGTCGCCAGGTATTACCTGCTGTACATGTGGGAGGACACAGGGGATGTGTCGCCAGGTATTACCTGCTATACATGTGGGAGGACACAGGGGATGTGTCGCCAGGTATTACCTGCTGTACCTGTAGGAGGACACAGGAGATGTGTCGCCAGGTATTACCTGCTGTACCTGTGGGAGGACACAGGGGATGTGTCGTCAGATATTACCTGCTGTACCTGTGGGAGGACACAGGGGATGTGTCGCCAGGTATTACCTGCTGTACCTGTGGGAGGACACAGGGGATGTGTCGCCAGGTATTACCTGCTGTACCTGTAGGAGGACACAGGAGATGTGTTGCCAGGTATTACCTGCTATACATGTGGGAGGACACAGGGGATGTGTTGCCAGGTATTACCTGCTGTACCTGTGGGAGGACACAGGGGATGTGTCGTCAGATATTACCTGCTGTACCTGTGGGAGGACACAGGGGATGTGTCGCCAGGTATTACCTGCTGTACCTGTGGGAGGACACAGGGGATGTGTCGCCAGGTATTACCTGCTGTACCTGTAGGAGGACACAGGAGATGTGTTGCCAGGTATTACCTGCTATACATGTGGGAGGACACAGGGGATGTGTTGCCAGGTATTACCTGCTGTACCTGTGGGAGGACATAGGGGATGTGTTGCCAGGTATTACCTGCTATACATGTGGGAGGACACAGGAGATGTGTTGCCAGGTATTACCTGCTGTACCTGTGGGAGGACACAGGGGATGTGTCGCCAGGTATTACCTGCTGTACCTGTGGGAGGACACAGGGGATGTGTTGCCAGGTATTTACCTGCTGTACCTGTGGGAGGACACAGGGGATGTGTCGTCAGATATTACCTGCTGTACCTGTGGGAGGACACAGGGGATGTGTCGCCAGGTATTACCTGCTGTACCTGTAGGAGGACACCAGAGATGTGTCGCCAGGTATTACCTGCTATACATGTGGGAGGACACAGGGGATGTGTTGCCAGGTATTACCTGCTGTACCTGTGGGAGGACATAGGGGATGTGTTGCCAGGTATTACCTGCTATACATGTGGGAGGACACACGAGATGTGTCACTAGGTATTACCTGCTGTACCTGTGGGAGGACACAGTGGATGTGTTGCCAGGTATTACCAGCTGCACCTGTGGGAGGACACAGGAGATGTGTCGCCAGGTATTACCTGCTGTACCTGTGGGAGGACACAGGGGATGTGTAATCAGGTATTACCAGCTGTACCTATGGGAGGACACAGTGATATGTCGTCAGGTGTAACCTGCTGACGCTGTGGGAGGACACAGGATGTGTCACTAGGTATTACCTGCTGTACCTGTGGGAGGACACACGAGATGTGTCACTAGGTATTACCTGCTGTACCTGTGGGAGGACACACGAGATGTGTCGTCAGGTATTACCTTCTGTACCTGTGGGAGGACACAGTGATGTGTCGCCAGGCGTCCCCTGCTGTACCTGTGAGAGGACACGGGATGTATCGCCAAGTGTTGCCGTTGCAGATATTTATACCTTGGGGTGTAAGTAGCCTTCCTCATGCCACTCACGTTTTGGGTGTTGAGTTGGGGATAAATGCGGCCCACTCTCAGAATGTAATATGTAGATTTATTCTGACGACTTCAAGGCTGTAGTCTTCTGTGCCCTGAGAGTCAAGGTTTTGTGTTATTAACTAAATGGAGTCATACGAGTTTGCAAGAGCCAGTAAATATTTGCTTTATTGGCCGGGAAGGTCATATTTATGACTGTTTGCTGTATCACATGTCAATTTTGAGAAATGATTAAGGTGGTCTGTGTAGGTATAAATTATGGGTACTGTTAGGCATGCCCTATGTCTTATTGGTAATAAGCTGTTGAAACGTTTGACTTGACTTACCACGCTTATAGTGATATACTGTTACAGCAATTAGATGCCAGTTGTTTGTGTGTGCTAAGCAACCAGGCAATATGGGTTTTAGTACATGTGTTTAAGTATATGGTTATGAGGCAGAGCCATGAATGTGGCCATTCAGAGATTTATTGTCTCAATATTGTGTTCATTCACTCTGACACTCAGTAATAGCCTGGTAGTAATTGTCACATGTGTGACATCACATTGTGTTTGTGTGTAAAATCTGTCATGTGTGAAGTCACACAATGGGCGCACTGTTATGTCTCCATCAACAGACAATGCCATGTATACATGTGTATGTCATATATGAAAAGTTGTCATGAAGTCTTGTCAGCCTAAACTACAGTTATTAGGTTCAGTGTTCAGGTGTCATGATTGGGTTAACTTTTGGATATGATGTTAACAATCATAGATTTCAATTTTACAAATATTAAATGACAAGGAAAATTTCACACAGCATAAAACAAGAAATTTTTTAAAAGACTGATGCACAAACTGTCCAGTGTATAGCCTTAATACCTTTCAGAGTACCAGTTTTCTATTGTGGAAATTCTATATTTGTCAATAAATTCAGAGTTGCATTTGTAACTTTGAATGAATATTAATTGGGAAGATGATTTGACAGAGATGTAGGTTTGTTAGGTGAGCATACTTTCATATGCCTGAGAGCATTTGATACTCATCGCTTAAGTTTTTTAAAAAAAGTATGGGATATCGACAGTCATGTGTGATGTTTTTTCAGAATAGACTGTTGCAATCTAGAAATACTACTACTGAATGTGTGATAACTTTTTTGATGACTATACACCCTTCCACTACATGTGCATCAGGTGTCAGGCCTTTGCATGTATACGGGGTGCTTTTCGTTTTTTAGCACTTTGATTACACATGAAGAGTTCAGTCATTGGCTTGACTACAGCAGACTGTAGTAACTCCTGCAACTCTGTCAAGTACAGGCAGGCATTGGATTCTTTCAGACCCTAGAGTAACAAATTAAAAAAAGAAGTCCAACTCAAGAATGATTTGGCAAGTCTAGATTGCCTTGGCTCCTGAAATTATGGATTATTCTGGGTGTCATTTGGAATATTTATATATATATCTATATATATCTATATCTATATATATATATCTATATATATATATATATATATATCTATATCTATATAGATATATATATGTTTACATATGTTTGTTTCTGGGACTAAGTGTCAATATAGGCAGGCATCTGATCGGACTGGTGGAGGGGGGAGTGGGGGAGCAACAGGATGGACACCCCGAGGCTACTTATTTACAAGCTCAAGTATAAGACAGAGCAACCTTCTGTCTAGAATATTAACTAGACAGCAGAAGAATGAAGGCATCTTGGGTTTTCCTTCTGTGCTTGTAATGTATTGTAAAAGAGAAATCAGTGTTTATTCCAGTGGTTGACAAGTATGTCCAAAGCTCAATATAGCTACCAGAGAGCAGCTGTATATATAATCTTTATGTGTATGCTTCATACGTCATCATTCACATGTGGAAATACCTGACCACTTGTGGATAACGAATCAATATCCATGCTAGACACCTCAGTATGCTGAGTCTTTTGGTGACAGGAGATAATCAATTTATTCTATACTAAAACACTGCTTATTGCTGCCCCAGTCCCTTCATCATGAGACAATGAAACAGGAACTTAGTGGATGACTAATTACAGGTCGCTTGGATTACATTAACAACCACTGACAGTAATAATCTTTGTTTTGTATAATGTGAACATGATGTGGCCTTGTTCAGGTTGTAAAACTGATTGACTTGTTGTGTAGGAATTGCGTGTTTAATTTGTCAGATGTACAAAGGTTAATAATGTTTTGAAATGAGACTGATTTTGTTTTAAGGTTCCCCCCACCGGAGCTCCAGCACTCACTTTACTGGTGACGTCGTACCACGGAGCTATGTGAGTGGAAACAGTATGTCACGCTACGGCTCGCGTAGCTACGACACGGGGGGATCACGTCGCTTTGAGTCAAGTCTACGCAGCTACGACACAGGAAGCAGTTACAAGAGCTACGACTCGGGTAGGAGGTTTGAAACTGGGCGGACGTACGACTCGGGCAAAAGTTATGATAGTGGTCGAAGCTATGGAACCAGTGGTAGCACCAGTACCACATCGAGTAGATATGCCAGTCCCACATCAAGTTCAAGGTCATACACATCAGGCACACCATCGTCCTACTCTCCAACATCAACAAGATCATACAGTAGCTCCTACTCATCGCGGAATGGAAGTAGCGAAACAGGTTCAAGGCTAACCAGGACAAACAGGTATGGAGGGTGAGATTTGCAAGGATATGTGTTTTATATGAAGATACTGAATTTTGTGATTCATGACCTTCCTAGAAGTGCTGTATAATACTGTCGTGTACCTATGGTAAGCCTGACCAAGTTGGCAACCAACATCACTCACTCACAAGCCTGAAATGTGTATCATAATTTGTGAAGGATTTTGAACGATACAAACATATGCGACCAGTACACACAAATGTATAGAATTGATGCAAAAAAAAATACATATTGCTTCCCGAGGAATGCAATGTTATTTTTTTTTTACCAAATCTTTTACATGAAATATTAAGTTCCTGTTAATGAAAGTAAGTAATTAGTGATTGGGGGTCCTCTGTACCACTAGTTTTATAGGTCAATGTAGAGCCCTGTCTGTGTCAAGAAAACTCTTCACACCTTATAATAATAAATAAAGTCTATATGCATTACTATTTAAAAAACTGAAAATAAGTACCAAGTAGCATATTCCTGCAGGTGATTTTGATTTCATACGTTGACAGCATTATTCCAGCTGTGTCATCAGTAGCAAGTGATCTACATGTAGATAAAGGGAAGCTACTCTTGCAACCTTGTAACTGCTGAGGCAATATCTTAGTAGCTTTCAGTGCAACTTTAACAACTGTAATACACATCTCTCCTGTGGCCTATCGTGTGCATGAAGTATTTCACTATCTGCTCGTTAAGCTTGTTATATGAGATCCACTGACAGATAGATATCATCCATTACATCAACGTTCTTAATTAGGACTTCATACTTGGGTCCTGAGTATAAGTTTGTATGCAACTCAATGCCTGAAATTGGTTAGTGCAAATGTACTTTTGACTATGATAAGGTGAGATGTGTGTATCCTGTGTTTAATATCAGCATGTCCCTTATGTGTATGGCACATTATGTTGGTTTGTTAATGATATTAGTTATGGTATTAGTTCCAGTAAGGAAAACAGCTGGAAGATAGTTGTACCAACAATAATTACAAAGTGTGTGTGTGTTATCCTATTTTCTGAGATTCTGATTGGATAACCAGGCCTCAAAGTTGTGACTAAAATGGTTGCCAAATGCCTAGATTTTCAGTTTGTCTACCATTAAAAATTTAGAGGTTGCCTACTTTGAAAATTTGTCTTGTGGCAACAAATTTGTATTACTTCACATAAGAAGACTAAGACATTAATAACTTGATTGATATATTCTGCTCTGTTTTGTCGATTGTCAGTTTTCCGATTGCAATGGAACTCGTGTCATCTCACTTATTGTCTGTGTCTATGAACATTTTGATAGCTCTATGCAGTGGTGAGAGGATTTGGTTATTCTACATAGGTTTATTGTGTGCAGTGCATCAAGTTTATGAACTTCTGACATATGTAGACCGTTCCGCTTTTCTTGGAACTAATAATAGTGATGGTAGCAGCGATTCAGAGTTGATGGATCAGAGGATAAAAGTCTCAAATGTAGTATAAACTTGTTCCACTATGCTACACGATTGTATACAAATGTGTGACAGTCTTTAGATACATATTTGTGGTACAGGTTGATCTTTTTGCTATTGCTGTTTTTGTTCTTCAAGCACTTGTCAGGTCTTTACAACTGATGCTAAACTATGTTACAATGTTCATGTTTTATCTCACCTTTCTTGAAACAAAGACAAAGGCCAATGACATTTGGTTAACATGATTCACCTACATATAAGGTCAAGGTCATGCTGATGGTCATTGGTGTAGTATATTTGCCACATCGAGTTGAAAGGCCTTTTTTAGAAATATATTTTATAAGTCTCACGAATGTTGTGTTTATATTATTTGGACACTTTATATATTTCACATGGACCTACTTTCAATGAGTTGCATGTGCTATAATTTTGCTGCAATATATAATTGATCCTGGAGACAAAAAAGGGTTTTTAATGCTGTTTAGCCCTTGGGAATGAACTAATATTGAAGGTCATATTCACTATCAAGGTAATATGCTGAAAAAGTGTTATGTTCATGATACCTCAGGAAGTGATTAGTTAAGGTAAGTCTGCATAGTCAGTGTACTGTTAACTCTCTATGTTTGTATCACATCTTATGACATCTTTGTAAGAGCTAGTGACCATGTTTCAAGCATGTGATTGGCTGAAATTGAGGTCAAGATAAATCAATCTGAAGTACATGTTACATTCTTATTTAAGGTAGTGAGAGGTATATGACTTTATGGTTTTATATTGCAATGCAATGGGCATGTGCTTTCCACACCAGAAGTGATGTCAGAGTAGAAATCCCTTAAGGTTCCCCATTATGTTAGCTGTAGGCAGGGTACTTAAACCTGGTTTGATGTTTTAGTATACCATATTTTCTTGAGTATAGTGCACACTTTTTTCCAAAAAACACAGCTGTGCAGAAGGGGGTGCGCATTATACACGAATTATGAGTTTTGATGTTTTTTTCCCCCCCATGGAAAGACATTACCGTGAGCACGTAACACCGGAAATACCATGTCAACAAATCCATACTGAAGTACGCAAATTATTCATGTAATTACACTGTCTGGCTATAAAAAGTTTTCTTTGTATTTCTGGACTTATGTTTGTAACTTATTTCATTAATTTTATTCAAAATACCTTTTAATATTGTTTTAATTAATTTCGGCGAAATCGTGTGTTCCGATCGCACAACTCACCGTTATTAACAGCAACCGAGGTCAGATTATCGCTATTGACGCCTTGAAACGAACTTTAGTTGACAGAGAATGGATACATATATCATAAATGACATACTTTGAATCGTTAAAAGTCATATTTGTTTTTGTTGGACGATTCTATGTCAACATGTAATTCTCGCGATCACGTGCACGGGAGCCTTGACGGTGAATGGTCAGACTGGTTCCATGTAAAAAATAATACCCGGCAATAGCGATCAGCTGCTTCGCTTAGGGTTATTATTATTTTAAATATGTTTAGTAAAAGCTGCATCTAAATTAACAAGATATTGGAATATATTATTCCTGATAAAAAAAAAGAGAGTTTCAGAAACAATTTTTGCCGATCCTTGCATTAAAAATACTGTAAAGTTATATCATTGGGTGTGTCTTGACCAAATCACCGGTAGATTCCAAGAAAACGAGTGTACAGCTGATTGCTGTGTACGGCTTAGTTTACGAGAAAATACACAAGGTAATCTTAATCCCTGGATATAAAACAATGCCTAGTAGAACAAAAAATACAATTTAAACGGTAAATCAACATGTCTGGTGATTTTTTATCTCAAATTTCAAATTTGTACTGACAAAGTTTCTCATCACCCGTTCGTTTGCTGGACTTTGCTGAAGGGGTATGGTGTAATTTTTTTCTGCGCATAATATTCAAATTTCTTTTTTTCCAAAATATTGAATCCGCTAGAGGGGGCAGCGCATTATACATGGGTGTGCACTATACTCAAGAAAATATGGTACATGCATTTTACCAAACTGAAGGTAAAGGTATCCCACTGGAAATGTGTGGTGGCATGTAATGATTTCTGGGGCCTTCTTGAAATGGTGTTGAAGGTGCTGCTTCTATTTACAAGAATGTGTATTGGGTGACATGAACACATGCTCTGACCATTTTACCTCTGTGTGACACAAACCCTTAATTTACTTGCCTGACCATGTATTTTGGAATTAGTCTCAGTATATTCTGATCTAACTAGATCAATGGACATTTGCACTGGTGTTGAAATCTGGTATATGGCTATTATTTCCACAAATATCATGTGTTTGACAAGTTTTCTTGTCTTTGTACAAAATGCATCTGTGTTTTTCTGTATACTAATACAGTTTAAGCAAGTGAGCTATATAGCCCTTGAGTCTTTATTCTTGATAGAACTGTCGGTTGCTTTAGCTACCAGTCTGAAGTGTGGATCTAGTAATGTATATTTTGTTTGAGTAAATTTAACTAATAAAAGCTTAATTTATTTTGAAATTCCTCTGCAGTAGATTTGGGGGCTATAGATTATAATGTTTTTGTGTAAAACGTTCAAATCCATTTGGGCTTAAACTCAAAACACTGACACTTACCTGATCATGCTTATATGTGTTTGTACAAACAATAAGTTGATCGAAGGCTGTCAGCAACTCATTCATTTCTACATTTCAAGAAGAAAAGACAGCCAGTATGTTTCTACCTTTCATTTTGTAACATAAAATGGAGATTTTCCCAAGACACAGCACATGAAAAGAAATGTAATCCTTTTATTGAAGTAAATTTGATTATTTTGATGTTGATCAGCAACAATATCCAATGATATGCTCAACATTCATGTATTCTCTGCTCGTTTCAGCTCTTCAAAGCCAAGTGATGGTACTTCATCACCAACAACCGAGTCCAGATACTCTCGCAGTGGATACACATCCCCACGAAGCAGCATCCCAACACGTTCCTCAGAGTTAGCAAATGGGAGGAGCCCACGATCTAGTTTGTCATCAGAACCTTCATTAGAATCTAGGGAAGATTCTCTGACTCGAAACACAGAAGGTCGAAGGTCACAGCGGAACCGGGACAAAAAGTCTGATAGTGATGATAACAAAGATGAGATTCCATCATACCGCAGATATTCCCGATCATATCTGGATACCAAGACAGAAGGTGACAAAGATGACAAGAAAGATGATACCAGAACATACAGCAGATATGGCCGAACATACCATGATTCGAAAACAGAAATAGATAGCGACAAGGACAAGGAGGACAGGTCAGTTAGTAGATATTCACGGCGACATCGGGACACAGATACTGATATATCAGAAACCAAACCAAGATATGAGTCCAAGTACGACACTGGCTCAGATACAACAGAAGCTATTCTAAAGCGAGCAGAGAGACGTCGGTTGCGTGCTGAAGCTAAGAAAGATCTGGCTGCTACAGATGACTGTGGTACCAAAGATGATTCTTCAAACACAACAAGAGAAGGTGAAAAAACTGATACGAAGGAAGATGCATTGACAGAATGGCGACGAATGAGAGCACTCGGGCAAGGTTCTCTGAGTTCGGACCTAAGTTTAGACAAACCTGATGCCACAGATAGGCTATCAAGGAGAGACAGGACTGGCTCATTGAAAGACAGCACTGATGATAGTGATACTTTTGTGAGGCAGTCGAGCTATCGGAGACGCCATAACATATCTGAGGAGAAGGACACTGATTTTTCTACCAAAGAAGAGAGTAGCACTCCAACTAGAAGTTTTCGTCGTTTCCAGCGGGAAAATCAATCTGAAGAAAAAGAAGATGTAAATGAAAAGATTCGAGAGAAATCTGAAGAAAGGGCATCACGCGCTGAACGAATTGCAAAATATAAGGAAGAGCGTCGAAAGGAACTTGCTGCCATTTCTAATCTTACTAAACAGTTGGATAGTGATTCAGAAGGTTCAGGAGTGGTTGCTAGACCGTCTTTGTTTCTAGCAGCGAGTTCCCAGAGGCAGAGCTCAGAGGAGAGATCTGAAGATGGCAAAGGTGCTACATCCAGTCATGCTGATGGACAGACGCATAGAAGACGTCTACCTGAAATACCCAGTTTCAGACAAGACATATCAGGAGCAGACATATCAGTTGGTGGTGTTGCCTCTAAAACAAAACCCGAAGTTGTTTCCAGTGACAGTGGCATATCTGAAAATGAGGCAAGATTTCGCAAAGACACATCTCTGAATGCCAAATTAGGTGTAAGCGCTACCGTGAAACGGTCATCTTCATTAAGAGAAGATAAAAGTTTGGCAGAAACAACGAAACAGTCTTCAAGCAGGTCCAGAGATGAAACCAGGAACAAGTCACGTAGCCGTGATCGTCTGGATGTAGACAGAACTGCTTCAAATCGTCACTCTTCTGGTGATAATCGATCTTCAGAAGATGAAGGGTCAAAGTTAGATGTCAAAAGTCGATCAATATCTGAAAAGACACTAATATCAACATCAAAATCAGTACGAAGATCACAAAGTGATGTCACTCGCACGTCACATAGTGACCCCAACTTGGAAAGTTTGGGGTCAGAAACCCTGCTTGCATCAAGTGCGCTTGATCAACTCAAACTGAAACAGATAGCAAGAAGGGGAGAACTTCTTGAAAAGAAGACTTTCGGAGCTAAGGACAGATCAGCTGACTACCAAAAATCATCTGAGAAAGCAGGAACTGAAAAGTCAGAAAAGACTACTGCATCAAAAACTCTTTCTCCACTGAAAACTCCAACAAAGATTGTCGGAGGGGAACGGATGCCCCTCTCCCCTGATCCACTGGATGATTTGTTAAAGAAAAATGCTGCATTCTTATCAGATGTAGATATGGAGTCAGAGATTGGTTCCTCATCTTCCAATGCTTCAAAGTCTTTCAAGAATGATAAACCTAGAAAATCCTTGAGAAGACGTCACCTCCAGAAATCCATGAGCAAGAAATCTTCAGTGGATGAGGATGGGAAAGAGGAAACAGCTAAAAGGTGAGTTTAACTTAGTATCTGACTTGGTTCATGCTACTTGTAACTCAATAAGGGTGTTTATTAACTGTGTGATGACTTGAATCCGAAGTCTAGCTAGGTTGTCTAATCACAGTATATTATGTCTTTTACTGATGAGTGTATCAAGTTGTTGCAAGGATTGGTTTAATCTCCTGTATAATGAGCTTTTATTATGACACACATTTATATAAGTTCTAAAAATTGAACCTTGTGGGAGAATTTTGTTCTTGCTGCACTGGGTCTACCTCTGACTATAAAATTAGGCAGAGATGTAGTATATAAAATCTCCTGTCTGAAGGTGGAAAATTAACTGCAAATTAAACTGGTTTATAAAACAGTCACATGTTGTGCAAGATTTTGTTATGCGTAATTTAAAGAGCATATTTCGTATATGAAAACTGAGCGAATAAAATACTGCCTAATATTTGAATGACATAAATATATAACAAAGGAAGTTATCATGAAATGGATGGCCCTATCTAACATGTTCATTAGTCCTTAGATTCCATCATTCACTTGATTGTGTAAGTGTAATTTGACTAATGTTGCGCCATTACTAATTGAGTACTTGCCTCATCATGAAATGTAATGAATTACTTAAGGTTTGACACTTTTTTGTTTGACGTCATAGCATGTTTCATGTATTTGGCAATGTTGGAGAAAGATGACATAGGTACAAGGATTATCCTGGAAATATTTACCTATGAGAGAAAATCTCCCCTGGTCCAAAAGCAATGAGTTTTTTTGGCGTGTGATGAGATTTTGCAAATTTTCAGAGACATTTTGTTTTCACAAAGTGGAGACTGTATTACCGTTGAAACCGAATTATTTTGCAATTAATGTTACTAGATTATATAGATATATCCGCCAATATTTTCGAACATTAATTATTCCACTGTTAATATTTAAAAATATTAGCAATAGTATCAACAAAAAAATACATTAGTATTTATATTTCTGTTCATGAAGATCATTCAGAAGGCATGTTTACCACCATCAGCTGTACATTTCCTTGGCATGCAGGGGATAAACAATTTCTAGGTCTTTGACGATGTCTGTTAAGATCGTAATTTAATATATTCAAGTGATGATATGAAAAAGCGACTGTTGTAAATGGTGTTACAGTTTGTTGGCAAAAAATATATCATTTACATTCCAGTGCTTTCTGTAGTGTGTACTGTATCAAAGACCGGGTGTCTGACCGTATCAGATGAAATCTGAAGCTGTGGCAAAATCATGGAGACCTTCATCCTCCCTCATCATGCTCATACATGACAATAGATGGGATAAGTTTGTGGAGAAGACGACAAGGGATTATAACTAATACAATCTCTATCCCTATGATAGCAGACTTTCTACTACATCTACGTCAGGGCACTGTTGTACAAAACAACCTTAGCACTAAGACTGTCGTAAGTCTATGTTAATGTATGGGAGCTGCGTTCACCTTAGCGCAAAGGTCCCGTTATACAACGGTACCCAGGACAATAAGTTCCGACAAGGAATGATAGAAGGTTACAGAACGGCACTTCACTCTGTACTGCACAATGAATTCTACCTCTCGTCAACAGACCCACATAGATGCCATCGAAGGAGACTTTTCATATCGTGCAAGCCTCATTCCAACAAGGACATCACCAAGGCTACGATAGCGGGTTGACTTAAGTCTACCATTACAGTTATACGCAGGCACAGAATTCCACTCCCCATTGGATCCTGCTCGGCTCATAAAAACCGGAGCCCTTGCCACGAGTCTCACTTCATGGATATCTGTTTCGGTGGAATAAGTGGTGTCTTACTGTCTTACTCACAAAACACCTTCAACAGCTTTTACTTGCGCATGACATGCAGCCGGACCCAGAGGGCATATATTCCATTGGGCCAATGGTCGCAACGCAAACTATCATCCACCAATAGTTTCCTCTTTCTATAGAAAAATAGTTTCCTTCTTCTATCGAAAAAAAAGGGGGGGGATGGGGGGGCTGAGGGAAGGTAGGATCCAACACCAGCAACATCAGAGGGTGGGTACACCCTTGATTATCTTGTCTATTAGGTGTAAGATGGATTAAGAGCACCTTGAGTATCAACTGCTCCAAGAACTAGGTTCAGATGACCAGAAGTGTTGTCAGAGACGTAAGAGATAGAAACCGGAAGTGACGTCATCACTGGAAATAGCAGTACAAGGTCAATCTAATCAGGAGAATTGCCGTCATATAGCTGGAATATTGCTGAGTGCGGCGTTAAACAAAAAACCAACCAACCAACTAATCAGGAGATGACGTCTTTTGGTAGAAATAGACCATAAGAGAAGTCATTATCCAATAAAGAGGAGGTGACAGACCGGAAGTTGCATCAGAACTGGAAGTGAGGTCAAACCGAAAGTGACGCCAGCACCGGAAATATTGTCACAAATCCATTTTTTTCAACAGGAAATGACGTCATTTGGTGGAAATGGACCAGAAATGATGTCATTATTACAAACAAGATCAGCAAATATAACGGTGATTCTAGTGAAGGTATCACATATTTGACTGATTCTTGATGCATTCTGATTTTCAAGTCCTCAAGAGAAATTTCAGGGGAAATTATCATGGGTCAGGATTAGAATCAGTGATTAAATGGTTTCCAGAAGAGGATTACTGTCAATAACAGAGGGAGTTACGAGAGGCAGATTCTGCCAGGTCCCTCTGGTATATTCTGGAAAAGATGTAATGGAGGTAGAGGATTCGCAAGAATTATTGAACAGTAGTTATCATTGTTAATAATTCTAAGATTACTACCTCTATTACATCAAGAGTACTCCCACCCACCTCCCTAATTCATCTACCTCTAGTGGTTAGATGTTGGAAAGAAGTGAGGTTTCCCGCCATTACGCATGTCATAGCTTGGGTTGCTATAGTGCTATTCGGGCACAACTAATTGTGGGTAATTGACAGTGAAGAGGACGTCTGTTGAAAATCTGAAAATTTAGATAGGGTGACTAAAGCCAAAATAAAGGATTTATGGCAAATATTATAGAGGTAGTATTCTTAGAATTACTAAAAATGATAACTATTGTTTGATATTCCCGAGGTACGCCCATACAGCACAATGTTAAAGTGACTCATTGTATTTGAAAATGTAGACCTAGAATTATCCCTGGTAGATACTTTTATTCAAGCAATACAACATGTCAATTCAGTGAGAGTGTCAATTCAGATAAAGCTATTGAAAGATGTAAGCGATTTTCAATTGTGCTGAATGAATGTTGATACGATATCTATGACAACTATGCGAGAATAACGTGGAATCACGGCCTAAATCAATCCCTGAGGTATATCAACTAATATATATCTAATCCTATTTTCATTCATAGTTGGAAAATCGGGATTTGTACAATAGTATTTATTTGAAAAAAGCACTCGCACCTCTTCTACAAGATCATACCTGTTAGGCATCAATTTTATCTGAATAAAATTATTTTAAAATGAACAAATATATGTTTTAGTCTGTTTTCAGTTGTACAAATGGGTATCTCATACCTCTAGTCGCATGTTAAAAGGAAGCCAGAAGCTGGAATGTAAACAATAAACTTGTTTCCGTCCGGTTGCGCATGCACCTCCCTATGATATGCCACAAATCTCTCAGCGCGCCTCTGAGCTGGTCGCTCGAGAAGGACTTTTCGCGATAGACTGCTAGTTTGTTGTCTACTAGTACTTATCGTGTGTCTACAGTTGTTGTTCTAATAAAGTAATGATAATATGTCTTCCCTGTAGACTCCTGGAATGTAATCCTTGGTAATCCATTGTTTGTGTTCAACACGTGTTTCACTGTTTGACTTGATTATACACGTGGCAACATGTTGGGCATTTGTGCCTCGTGTCAACGAAAACTGTCTAAAGTAGATCCTCACAAGTATTGTCCTTCCTGCATAATTAAGGACGGGTTTTCAACGTGTTTGTGGGATAAACGTTGTAAAGAATGTGAGCACTTGTCTTCTATCCACTTTAACTTGTATCTTCGTGCGTTGGCGAAGCGGGCTACTGACCAGCGCTACAAGCAGAGAAGGTCATCGGGTGGATCCTTGGACTCTGCACCCTCTACATCTGGCCCTGGGGGTGGCGCGTCGGCCACACCCAAGAAATCAGTTGATAAAGACCCGCCTCAGTCAACTTATGTTTTCGACAAGACACGTGACCGTTCGCCTGCTGTTGATACTACCTGCACGACTGATCGTCAATCGGTTGATCGAGAGCGTCACTCAGCCACCCCTGTTACGACGGGACCGGGTGGTGACGAGGACCACGAGGGGACTACGGTCCCCAGTCGGTCCGTCTCTCGTCCTACCAACGGCGATAGGAACGTCGTGCGGGTCGACAGTGAACACAGATCCCTCTAGAAGTCGTTCCCATTCACGGGACGACAGGTCGAGGGCCTCGTCGAGAGACGACACGAGGACGTTCGTCGCCTTCGTGGACGTCGTGAGTTCGTTTCGGACGATAACTACGATGGGGATCGTAGTACTTCTACAGTTAGAAATCGTAGCCCTCGCCCCCACAGGGACGTGCGACGCTCTTAAAGGGAGTTTTTTGGAGATCAGCGTCTTCGAGCTGATGACCGATCGATACCCTCGTCTCACTTTCCTATCGACCCGACTTTGATAGCTCAGATCACGGCGGCGGTACTCGCCTCGACGGCGTCGACCAAGAAGGATTCGACTACGTCGGAGGTCCATGGACCATCGACCAGTACACCAGTTCCTTCATCTACGCCTACACAATCGACGTCGACGATGGATTGTGACGACAGCCCTCCTAGGCCTCCCAAAGACATTGAGTTGTTTGCTTGGCTATCTAACTTTCTGCCTGAGTTATTAAATGATGCCGACAAACCGACGCGTGCTGGCTTTAAAGTCGGAGATACGCCACAGTCTCTTCAGTTTTCACCTCCCGATGTCTTCAGAGCCATGGCTCATGATATGGACCAGAACTTTGCCTCTGCTC